GTTTAGAGGAAAGTATACATTATACTACAGACTTCCCACAGATTAGCAGCATCAGCCATTATGCTTCATGGTTTTCTACTTCTACCTAAAAGTGTATGCTGCTCTTCTATTCTGTCTCCATTTTAATGCCCACTGACTGCACTGTATCATAGCATCATTGCATTATTTATTTTTGATTATTTAATATTTCACTAGAATTCTATTCTTCAACTTACTTTAATATAGTCCTACTTTAAAGGTGCAAAATAAGGAAGCTAGGGAATGAAGAAGTAGCTGAATATTGAATTTTTGGTCTGAAAATTCTGAATTAATCCGGATTAAAGGGTCCTGATTTATCCTGCCTATAATAAACTGACCAAGTTTTGAGATGCCTTTTTTTCTGACTGATATTGCATAAAACTTGATTATTAATAATTATTTTAAACCTTTTAAGTGTTTGAACTCTGTGAGGTTTCAGCTGGTTTAGATTCCCTCTCCCCACCCCCCGCCCCGTGCCTCCAGAAGAGATTCCCTCTGTTAAGTCATCACTAAAGCAATCGTGTACTACTTAACGGAGGAGCTATTTTCTACTTCATGTGTCTCCCTATGAATTGTGCAAGAGGCATTAGAGAGCCCCGCCTTCCACTGAACACATAAAAAGGCATAGCAGAAAAAGCTTTACAGATTTATTACATTCTCTATACATTGCCTTTCTGGGAGGGAGAAAGAGAATTGGCAGCAAGTCATGCTGCAAAGCAGAGTCTTCAAGGACACAGGAAAATCTTTTCTAACCCCCAAAGATTTTGAATAGCTCTGTACAGCATTCCTCATTATCGTGAACATATTTTTCAGGCATTACTTAGAGATGTTAAAGAAACATGCCACAATGTCTGATTCATCTTCTTTCTCCCAGCTCTTACATCCACAATCTCCATGTTGAGGGAAGGAGGGCAAGGAGTCAAGCCCAGGGGTGCTCTCAGAGGAGGCAAGTTGCAAACATCCTTCCAGATGGCACTTCCCATCAAGGAGATGTGGGTTTCCTATGGCATGATGGCAATCCCATTGCGAAGAGATATGACTCTTCACTTACAGTGGGCAGCCTCATTTCCCTGCTGAGTAGCTTATTTCCAGAGGAGCCCTATGTACCAGCAGCCATCCTACAGCTGGGCAGGGAGTAATCAAAAGTAGGCAGAAATTAAACAAAATGCTCATTGTCACTTGCTGCTGGGTAGATGACATTAACCTCTTCCACATTTTCTGGTGCTTGATCCATGCACAGGATCTCTATGAACAGCAGTCTGTTTAGGCAACTAGATTTAGCTGTGTCTGTCATTCTTCAAATAGTGTGTGCCATGAGGACCACTGGAGCAGCTGGGGAATTGTAGAATCCCATCTTGGAAGGGACCTTGAGGATCATCTCGTCAAAACTATCTTGGCAAAAGCATGCTTTAGATAAGATGTCTCAGCTCCCTGTACAGCTGAATCTTTAAAGTGCCGAACACTGGGGAATCCACCACTTCCCTGGGAAGATTATTCCAATGGCTGATTGTTCTCCTGGTCAAAATTTTTCTCCTTATGTCCAAATGGAATATCCCCAGGAGTAACTTGTACCCATTACCCCTGTCTTTTCCTGTGACTCCTTGTAAAAAGAGAGTCTCCAATTTCTTTGTAGCCACCCTTTAAATACATATGGTGTTAATGCAGATTTGTTTCAGCTTGCTTGGAGGAAAAAAGCAAAATAAACAACAAAACCGTAAGAGGATATAGAGTCTCATCAAGGAAGTAATGTGTCTCATGTTTTGAATGATTGTCCATCTTCAGTTGTCATGGAGTTCAGCATCATTTTCTCCAATTTCAAACAAAATTCAATCTTAACAATTGCTGAGCTGTGTACATGATACTCCATGGGTTGTTCTTCACATGTGACTGCAGCTTTATGGATTTCTCTGTTGGGCCTGGCCCTCTGAAGAATGGACATAACTGGGGGACTGCTCTGCTGAAATGCTATGCTCTGCTTTGAGATTGTTTTCATTTGGGGCAGAAATTCAACCACTGACATTATTAGGCTGAGCAACATAAGGCCTAAGTACTAATCTGAGGTTTCTTATTCAGTTCTTGACTTCTTGGACCTTCACTGTTTTGCCATCTGCTATAATTGAAAATTGCCTTCTGCAACCAAAGGGAAAATCTAATTTCTCAGCAAGCCATATGGGGTTATTAAGATCATTAAACCCTGGTATGCCATAATGCCTGGGCCAGAAGGACCACAGGGCATGTAAATATTGTGTGATTCATTTTATAGCCTCAGACTGCAAGTTAGGAATTATTTTGATGGCTATCTTATGATGAAAATTGGTGGTCAAGTAGGTTACTGCAGACGTTGCCTGGTGAGGTCAATCCATGGTTTGTTCAGAGCTGTGATGGATGAGAGTGCTTTTAATAATGTTTGATTGCAAAGGGTAAAATCTTTTGTTATCAGTCTGACAAATGATCAGAACCCAGGCAGTGTCCTTAGTTGTGCCAGTGATGCTAAAGGCAGCCTTAAATTTTGATATAAAAAACCAGAGAATAGAATTCCTAGTTTTCAGGAAGACTTGGCTTCTCATACAGGATCCAAGGCCAATGATATAAATTGTACTCCATTTCCTTTCTTAAGAATGGGAAAGCTATTCCCCTGCAAGTGCCTGTTCTTGAATACTTTAAAACAAAGTTGCCGGAATTTTTCTCTGTTCCTCTAGTTCTGATATTTTATAAGATTTCTTCCCAACAAAACCCACTTCTATATATTAGATACTACTATGTGTGAGAATATTAAAGCTGATTTTTGGCTAATAAGGCTTCAGAAATGAATGCAGGAGCTGTGAAATTTACATGAAATTAAAGAAAGAATAGTTCAGTAAATGCAAATAAATGCAGAAATGAATATTTTAATTTGGATTTATGATTAATGCCAAAAGATTACCAGCAGGCCACTACAATGTGGTGATGACATAAAAACTCAATGGGAATAAAAATTCTATATACACCAGTTAACAGATGGCAGTAAGCTATTTTTAGTAGTCAAGCGTACAGTAATTTATTTGATCTTTTTGAAAAATATAGCAATTGATTGTATTTGAAGTTTGTCTTTTTGTTAATTATGTCTCAGAATATTTTTTTTTTTACTGATACACTATTGTATCAGTTTCAATGTGACAACTACGATCAGCAGGTTTATTCCAATTTGGGAAGATATTAGATGAATTATATTGAAAATGGTCATTGCTGATTGCCACTTTTCTTTGTGCTATGTTAAAAGAGTTAAGAACAAATTATTGTGATTGTAGATAAGAAAAAGTGAAGAATTTTCCCTCCTTCAGTTTTCTAGTGATCTCAATCTGACTGCATGTATTTTCTTTGTAGGTCATGGATTTCTGTTTTAGACTATTGAAACCAAAGCATGTCTGAATAGGCTTTAGTTTCTGTAGCACTGTGGTAAATACATTTTACTATTTTGAAACCAAGATAATTTAAAGGAAGTTCCAGTTATATTTATAAAGTCATAGTGCTTCCTTATTTTAGTGTTCTTGGTAATTCCAGTTGGAATAAGAGAGTGATTTTTCTAAAGGTTGGGAGTCCAGTCAAACTTACACATACATATTTTTCTTTTCTAACATGGTCTTTGAGAAGCCATGAAAAAATTGTGGTTGACTTTTAGTTTGTATGAGTGCATTTTATGGATTTCTATGGTGGTTTTTTGTTTGTTTGTTTTTTTGTTTGTTTGGGTTTTTTTGGTTTTTTGTAACAGGAATCATAGAATGGTTAGAGTTGGAAAGGACCTTAAGATCATCTAGTTCCAACCCCCCTGCCGTGGGCAGGAATCTAAGTCTTCCTCTTCCCCACTTCCTATGCTTTGGCTAATCTAATAGGATACTCCACCTGAAAGGAGTCCCTGCTAAGTATGTGCCCTGGGAGCACACCTAGTGTTCTCTAGTCGCTCCCGGGCATTCAAGCTATCAACCCAGAATGGTACTTGGAACTAGTCTGAAGGATGAATCCTCCCCCCCCACCCCAGTGTGTATAAGCTCTAGGTAGGCGTAGCTTTACAGACAAAAAATGCTGGGGAAAAGGGTGGGGATGAGTGGGGATGGGAGATGAAAACCTTGTCATTAAGTCAGGATTCTCAGACTTCCCATGACTTTTGCATGTAGCTGAATGAACCTGCTGCCATGGTAGCACTGCATTTCTATACCAACACATTAGTCTTCCTCACTGTCTTCTGTGCATTAGGTATGAGCATGTGCCTGCTCTTTTGTTGTAACAAGTCTTTTGTAGTTACATTCATTTGGAATGATTGTATGGAAAAAATCCTCACTCTGCACTAATTGCAGTATTCATCTTAATACGTCTCATCCAAAGGAAAAAAAAAGTGAATGGAGACCTCAGTAATGAATTGTTGCTGGCAGGGCATGCACGTGCTTAACAGAAACTATCGTTATGCCTCAATGCTAATTAAGGGCAGTACAAACCCAGCAAAATCCGAACTCATCTGAAACTAATGGGAATTTCATCTCCACCATGTACAAGCTTTGTTTCTGGCTTCTTTATGCATTGCTGGTGGTGCTGGTCTTGTGGATCACAGGTGAGCCTATGAGGAATTACGTAATGAAAATAATTTGAAGCTATCCCTGACCTAATCTGTCTTGAAAAAGATCAAGAGCTCATAATATCATTACTGTCATATAAGGCTGAGCATGTTTCTATTTGTGCAGCTTCAGTCTTAAGGGTGCCCTAAACTATATGACTTGCCTGCAAATCCTTACCTTACACATTATCAAAGCACTTAAATCTATACAGGGCTATTGTGGCTTAACATCTCAGATTTTGAATTAGTCTACACTAAGCATCAATGTCATCTGTAACTTGTGTTTTATTGATTCCTCTTTTCTCATTATTAGACTGTTTCTTCCTGCACAGGTTTAATTCCTGGTCTTTTGTTTATTTCAGTCTTAGCAGTGTATCTAATCCATATTTATTTTTACCTGTATGAATGATTCAGAGCTTCACCAGGCTTCCTCAGTTTTAGGTAGCAGATTACAAGCTTTGTCTCAATAAAACTGGCAATACTAGAAAGATCTTCTGGAGGTGACTCAAAGGGATTGTCTATAGCTGCACCTTTACTGAAAAGCTGTACAAGAAACAAAAACATCATTTACTAATGTTATACCTTTTGTTAGGTAGAAATGCTTTTTGTAACTGATAAATTGAGTAGATGGAATTCCAAGTAAAATATACCCTGACTTTAACCAAAGTTAGCACTATAAAAACCAGTACAAATACATGTGAGTATAATATAAAATGCAGTGTCGTATTCCTGGAAAGGATAGTCAAGAGAGCAGAAAATAAACTAAAAACTAAAAAGCGCTGTTAGGAAAGAAACTATATTTTTCCCCATTTCAAAAAGTAGAGGCTCAACTTCAGGCTTCCAAAATCCATGGCTGTCTTCAGAAGGAGGTTGAACAAGGAGGCTCAGACAGCTATTTACTTATTTCAGCAAGCCAGTGGTGAACTCTGCCTTAGGCTTTGCTGCCTTTGTCCCACAGGCAGGAAAGCAGAGTGTGATACAAGGCAAGGAAACCAGAAACTCTGTCCCTAGTTTAATGGGAGGACTTGTCCTTCCAGAAAACTGCTATAGAAAGTAAAAAGGATGAGATCAACCATCTTTCCCATCTTCTTGATCCATATAAAGTTTAGCAGACAGAAACATCATATTTTCTGTTTTTAAAAAAATCTTTTCCTGATAAATGCCTGCTGTTCATCACAGCCTGTGACTTTCTCAGTAAATGATGTTTGATTTAAGAATGTGCATCTTTAGAATTAGATAACCCACAATGCCTTAAAGTTTTAGAGAGCCCTCAGTGCTAGCAGAGCTACAGTACCGTGCAGGACTACCTTTGGTCCTCAAATCTTTGTTTTATTAATCTACCTGATTTTGTAATGCCCAAGAGTAGTAAAAATTAGCTTTTAGTTCTTAAGAAAAGTCAACTGTAAGCAAATAGATGAAGTGTAAGAGCCTCGTCTTTAAGGAGAATAACCATATAGTGCTACTAATGAAAATGCAATAGAATGTTCGTTGCTTGTATAAACAATCCCTAACAGCATTGTGTAGAGTGCAATGATTTCATCGAAGTGAACTTCACTGCGAGTCAGCTTTAAAAGTAGATCTGTAATGAAGATTAACAAATTAATACTTACCTAGGCTGTGCGCTCAAAATCTTGGATCACACCGAGAGCAGTGTTGAGGGCTCTTACGGCACTGATATACAACTGCAGCCTGATGTGCATAAATGTAGCCTCTACTTTAAATGGGGTATAACCAAGGGACTCTTGCTTAAACCCAGTTTTGCCAGCTCCCCATCACTAATGCATTTAGTTATAGTAATTAGTTTCTTGTGCCTACGTAGTTAAAATCCAGTGCTTGATCTCTAGGAGGTGCAATATCAACTCAGCAGTTTGAGATCCATTTAGAAGATTAAATCTGTCCAGAAAAGAAGCTCTTCTATAGATGCATCTTTCTTCCTGCTTGTGATCCTTAAAGGCAAGAAGGATTATAGACCCACATCCACACTTAGCATCTAGAAAGCTATCCCTATCTTTAGGATTTTTGTGCACTGGTTAGAGATCAGCTCAATTCTTAACAGGCAACAAAGGTCATTTGAGGAAGTGTCCCCCTAGTTCAGGTGTGATAAATATTTTTTTTCTTTCACATGCCTTCTCCACAGAGCGAAGTTACACAGTGTATATAATAACACCCATACTTTTAAGATTTTCTATCATCTTGTTATTAGTAGAAGTAATAAATCAGCAAATTCATCACTTTTAACTTTGCTCATGGTACCATATATATCTGCTGAAGTGTCTCTATGGATAAGACGTGCTATATGTGCCTAAAAGACCCAGAGAATTATGTTCACATCAGTGAACATAAAAGTATCATCAAGTTTTTCTGTAATAACACTTTTCAGCTGAATTGGCCATGCTGTGACCTCTGTTAAATTTATGGGAATAAGAGATATCAGGCTACTCCCTGGCCTTTCAAGTTCTTGAATGATTGTGAGAAGAAAAATATCATTTAGGAATCCCTTCAGTATAAAGTGCTGCAATTCAGCATTTCCTTGAGTCTTACTGCTGATACGAAGAGTTATGTTTATACCTGTGTAACCCCTCAGTTATCTTTGACAAAAACCAAGACATGAGTCTCTGTAAACCATATCTGGACAGATAAGGGTTCTGAAAATATATTTAAATACAGTGAATATTGGGTTCTGTCAGGTCTTCTCTAAGACATCGCAGAGTAAGAGTTCAAAGAAATGAATAATATCTCAATCTTTAATCTCGCAAAATCAGAGTAATATTTTAAAGGGATGTGCCTGCATTTGGGACATCCTATATCTAAGTTGTATACTTTTTATGTCCCAAACTCTCCTGATTTTTGTGTAGCATTTCTCCAGTGGGTCAATGCATTTTAGAGAGACTTTTCCACACTAGTTCCGTACAAACAGCAGCAACATGCACCAAAAATCAGATTCAACTTAATTTTACAGAAATGGCTTCTTCTATACTAAGTGGGAAAAGTTATGAATATACAAAATAGCCCTAGTGTCTGGTACTGGCAAGATGCACAATTAAATGTACTCACTGCTGTAAGGAACTGTTTTGGTAGCAGTAGAGACACCACTGGAAAAGGTTTTAGTTGGGTGAATGATCTTAGTGCTGCCTGAAAAGCACATTGTTTTCCAAGCTCTGATGGAGGAGATACATTTTGTGTGTGTTTTATCACCTTTTACTGTATTTTGTTGGCCTTTCTAATAAAATGATTTGGCTGTGCAGTAGGAGGACCACTTCCTTGTGTTGGCCTGTCTGGCACTGAATATCAAGTCTGAGTGAGCATTTCTGGGGTAGTGAGGCAACAACAGTGCCAGAAAGCACCTGAGAAAGCTGATTAGGGGAAGCTCCCAGATGAGAAGGTAGGCAGGAAAAAGACAGTGAGCTGAGATTTCTGGCATGGGAGGGATGTGAAGAAGAGTTGTAGAAAGACTCACATCTGAGTTTCAAAGGTGAAGAGGAAAAGGAAAATTTCCCTGGGATCCAAAATAGCTTCTGTAGCTGCAGATTGTTGTAACTTTGGAAAACCCAGCTGGACTGAGAGCAAGGCAAGAAGAAAGGCTGTGCCATGCACAGACATAATGAGCAGGGAGGAGATTTGTTTGCAATTTTCATGTTTCACCTAGCAGAACTGAGTTTTACCTTGCTGCAGTCTGCAGTCCAATAACACCAACTTTGAAGATCAAAAGGCCTATGGTGTTTTTGGAATGCTTTAAGTAAAACCAGCTCCTTCTCACTCTTCTGAATACGCTATGGTCTTGTCACAAGGACATTCAAATATAGATGTTGGCTTGGAGAGGCAGTTGCTTTTTGTACTGTTGAGGGTGTTTGGCTATTTTATTTTATTTTTTTCTGCAGAGTTATATTAGAGTTGTATTTTAATTCCAAACTGGGAAATTTTGGGGTACATCTTGCCTAAGACTTTAGTGAGCTTTCGGTCTGCAGAAATCTAATCAATATCTGAAAGATTATAGAAGCTTTAAAATTGAAGCAAATAATTTAAACGTTTGAAGCTTTACAGCCAATCTGGAGTTAAAAACTTTTAATGTGCCAGGTTATGTCCTTTACCATAGCTAGGAAATCTAATGGTATTTTTTATTTTCAGACTTAGTTTACCTGACAGTGCCCCTGCCAGTTTTTCCAGAAATAACATTTAATTTTAAAAATCCTGCCAAAGGATATTTATATTTTCATAGAGGCCCTTATTACAACTGAAGGCTATCAAGCAGGTTTTGTGAACACGCATCCTTTAGAAGACTACGGAGTTATCCCATTCAAAGAGTTATCAAGTTACGTAAATGAAACGTATGGAATGAAAGCATCATGGGCAATTTTCGTATTAGGGGTGAACTGACACTATATTGTACTTTCACTGATAAAGGAGGCTTCTCTCGCAGTGTGTAGGACCCTATAAATATTGCTGAAACCATGGTCATATAAATGCTTGTAATAAAGTACTTTGTCAAAGGTCACAGAATGAGTCTGTGATACTGTGAACTTAACATAGATTTTATTGAGGTATTTAGGCTTTAATTTTGGCAGTAGCAAGCAAGGAAATTTTATGAGTAAAAACCTCCCAGGCATTAGCTAAGAAGAAAGACAGGAAAAGATCCCCACCAGACCAACCACGGCTTTGGTAAAAGACCAGTGGAAATGATGATTAAGGTAGCTTTCTAGTTAGCATGTGTGTAATTTGGAAGAATAAGATTAGAGTTCTGGTGATCTGTACCTTGGCACTTTGGAACTGTTTTCTCTGAAAACCAGGTGAAAGGTTTGGTTGTAAGAAACTGGCAATGGTAACAGTTTACTGATCACTACTATAGGTTTTGTGTATACTAAATTCAGGAATATAGTTTGTTTTAAAGATGCCCAATAAGTATCCATCTATGTGTATAGTTATAGATTCATATTTTAAGACCAATTTAGCTTAGGAAAACAAGTAAATTTGGTCAAATAGTGTGTGGCACTAAGATTCTTTGGCAAATTCCATGAGATCACTCATGCTTTCCTCTCTTGGATGAAAGGGCTGAGAGACTTTGAATACAGCAATAACCTGCTAGCCTGGCTGAGTTGATTGCATTGCTTTTTTTTTTTCTTTCCTTTTTTTTCTTTGTTAGCAGAGGAATGTTTAATCATGCCTCTCTTTTAAAGATAACGGTGGTTTTCCCTGCAGTGATTTTTAGAGTGGCTAATCAGAGAGACAAACCTGAAAAGGCAAAAAATATTTAATTAGTGCCTTTTCTTCTGACTAGCCAACAGTCCTAACCAGATGCCTTCACTTCAGATCCATCCAAGTAATCAGCCTGGTAATGTCACTGCATTACACATCAGGCACCTGGCAAGTCGAACACTAACTGCATCCCAGAAAATGTCTGCTAAGGAAGGCTACTTCTGAAAATAACTTTCAAAACCTGATAGCAAGCCTCACACAGTGCTGAAAACAAACTGCTCTTTGTATATTGTACTGTAATCCAGTCTTTGCAACAATTAGGCACTATCAAAAATACTGCAGGAAACCAGGAT